AGGGAACTGGAGAACACAGGGGAGATGAAGAATGCAAGGGAGGGGGAGAATACAGGGGGGAGAGAATACAAGGGAGTGGAGAATACAGGATAGATGAGAAAACAGGAGAGGTGAGAACACAGTGGAGGAGAGAATACAAGGAAGGGGAGAATACAGGGGAGGTGAGAATACAGTGGAGGTGAGGAGGGGGAATACAGGGGAGAAGGATAATAAAGTGGGGGATTCAGGGGAGGAGGAGAATACAGGCGAGGTCGGGTCAAGACAAGTAATATGGGGTTCCCATCTAATTTAATAATAGAAGACCAGTTAAGTTACAAGTTGAATAATATCCAATTTAAAGAATTTTTAATGATTGAATATATCAACAGTTTATTTCAAACTATAAACACTAATAGCTTCAAAAAGTTCCGTGCAACTGTGCAAAATCTAAGTAATATTAATTTGTACTAAAAGTGTAACTGAAGCAAGACGGTATTGAATGCTTCATTTGTATCAATTCAATTTAATTTGCATAGCGCATGCACGATTTACTAAATCTGACAACTAAATAGGACTATTCAGTTTGTACAGTTGCACGGATTAAGTGTGCTCACTCTACTAGCCCGATAGTGCTAAATATCACAATATTATAACAATAAAAAACAAAGGAATTTGCATAATTCAGTAAATTTAACACTATMTTAATTAATAACATTTTTCATGGCCTAAGTGTTTGAACTCCAAGAACACAACCAATAAGCAACGTAACGCGACCATCATGATGGAAAAAGGCGTTCTCGAAATCTGCAATAGGACTATAAATACTCTAAATCAACTTTATCAATTTGTATTGTATTTGGAACTACTTACATTTTTTTCCCAAGAAAGCAGAGCAACGGATTTTGAGGATCGCGAGAACTACATTTTTCAACATGTTTTCTYTTATATAGAAACTTCATGGCGCCTCAAAAATTGCAAACTCAAAAGTTGTTCTTTCCACAGGAAAAAGAGATCTCACGTCCTCTTAATTCCTGAACTCTGCTCGATCCACCCAGTTCCTTCAAGTCTTTGGCAAGATGTCCTTTTCATTCCCTCAATTCTTCACCGTCTTRAAGCTATCCTAGTTGCAGAAGAGTTTCGTCAGACCATAGCTACACATTCWGGGGTGGGAAGCATTGATTGGCCAGAAACAGTTGGTCTTCCTTTGTTGACTTCAAGAGAGGGGACTGATRAAGACMATRAGGTTCTAAGTYCCCTAAAGGRTGACTTRCAACTGCCTACAGATGTTGAAATGTTGCAGTTACAGGGAGACCAATCCGATAATGATATGCATAAGGAGCCTTCCTCAGTAATGAAACTTCAAGAGCTTACTGGCCAATCAAATGGCAGTGATTCAAGCATTCAACTGAAGGAGGCTTCAGAAGGCGGGAAGTCATCTACAGTTTTGATGAAAAAAGCGTTAACGAWGCAATCAAATGACATCGGACGAAGTAGCCAATTCGAGAAATCTTCAGAAGAACAACAACTCATATCTTGCGAATCCTACACTAAAATCGAAATTTTGAATCCAAGTGAAAAGGAAACGGAATTTTCGTCAACAAAGATTACAAAAACTGCAATAACAAAGGAACCTCACCACATGAAAGCGGTAGTGAAGAATAGTGAAGTCAATAGCAATTCAGTAAAGGAATCCTTTTCAAGAATGAAAAGTGAGATAAATGAACCTTCCTCAACGCTGATCCTCAAGGGATTAACGTGTATTAGTGCTGTAGATCTCTTCAATCACGATCGTCTAGAGATGTTCGGAGACGCCTTCATCAAATTTGCTGTTTCATTGAATATGTACTGTGAGACGCCATTGTTAAACGTTGGCAAGCTCTCTTTTTATAGAGGTCTTAATATAAGCAATCGGCAATTATTCTATCTTGGACGGGCACTGAACATTCCCTCGTATATCTTCAATGCACCATTCCAGCCGTTCGTTTCTTGGCGCCCACATGGGTTCAAGCAACTAAAGAAAACGGTTAGCCAGGAAGGTCGTTTCAAGTTGAAYCCTGACACCAACGACATCGATTCAAGTGATAACGATGATGATATATTCCAAGAAACGAGTCCGTCTTTGCCTTCACAAGGCCCACAAGTCGAGATCGACGCACAGATGCACATAATTGCTTCAGATAAAAGTGTYGCAGACACGACAGAGGCTAYCATTGGAGCTTATTTAGTAACTGGTGGTCCGAAAAGCGCACTTAAAGTGATGAAATGGCTTGGAATGGATGTAACGGATTACTTAAACTCTGAAGATGCATCAGCGTTGGTTGCTAACATATCTCTTCTAGAGCCAGCGGAAGATCAGCTTAGTAGTGACGTTTCATTACTGGAAGCAGAGTTCAAGAATGTAGAAGCTTCTATTGGTCATTCATTCAGAAATAAACACCTGCTTTATCAAGCATTCATTCACGTGACTTACCCACGTGGTCTGAGCCGTTTGTGCTCAAGTTATGAGCAGCTAGAGTTCCTTGGTGATGCTTTGTTGGACTATTTTGTGACCCGGCATCTGTACTTTACCTATAAGGACATGTCGCCTGGYCTTTTGACGGATGTTAGGTCAGCTATTGTCAACAGCTACAGCTTTGCTTTTCTGTCAGTGCAACTTGGTTTACACAAGCATCTGCGGTCATTTTCACCAGCAGTATTCCGAGTTRTAAATAGATTCACTGCAATSCTGAAAAACACCATTAAGAAGAAGACGGTAGCGAACCCTGACCAGGTTAGGCATTTAATCACCCCAAATGATCGCTTGTAGCTATAGATTGCGCAAAATGTTTGATACAAATTTTATCAAAGTGCATATTTTCGCACTCTGTGATCAGAGTTTACGTCAACCTTTCCGTGGATGAAGGAGAACGGAAGACTAAGTCCCTGTTGACGTGAGATAGGCTGCCCCTAGGTGGTAGGGCCAAAAGGAGAAAGACAAAAAAAAAAGTTGAGCCCCACTATCTACGGGCACTCTATCTCATGGAGACAAGGATTTCAGACTCTTTSAAATACCTAATACGTTATGAAAGGTCCTTTAACGAGATTTCTTTATTATGCYACYAGGTGTTTTCCAGTGTTTTCGTTCCCCCAGATGACAACGATGAAAACAACGACGGAATCGAAGTTCCCAAAGTCTTGGCTGACATCTTTGAATCTGTTGTTGCCGCGGTTTTTGTTGACACCGGAATGGACGTAGAAAGAACTTGGCTTGTCGTTTACAAGCTGCTGAAGGCCGCATTTGGTAAATAAAMCATTATGCCTTCATTACAAGTGCTTTAAGTAAAACCGGCRACATTTTTATGAAGCGATGATACCCAGGGTGGTAGCTTGATGATATMGGCCTCACATCCCTCTTYCCCCTCTATCCCGGAATGCCAGTGATCTGGTTTTGAAAACGAGTATGCTGTTAAGTACTAACTATGAGTGCCTTAAGTTAAACCGGCAAGATTTTAACGGTTCTAAATTTAATTTTTAATAATGGTATTTGCCCTTTGTTTTTAATTAAAACTGGTTACCAAGRTAGAATAGTCGTAATTTAACGTTCAAGTTCCGTAGTGGAAAAAAAATATATCAACTCCTCCACTTTGGATAGTTTAGGATCAGAAGTACATAACCAGAAGTGTCCATCTCCCCATTGGTATCGCCACCATCA